AAGTACACTGCTGAGGGGAGCAGCGGGCGCGTCAGGAGAGATCTGCCGCGCCATGTGGTCACCTCTGGGGCAGGCGAGGATCGAACTCACAAGGAAGCGGTTTTAGCTTCTCAGTGCTGTGCTGTAACCCGCTGCGCCACCAGGGAGGGCCAGCTGCTCCTTTTTACTGACCTCTTTGATTCATGCTCCAGTCCCTCCCCTTTTCAGAAAGCTTTCCTTCTACAGCATTCACTCGTTCTCTTCTTTGAAATGAAGCTGCTTAAAGGCTTGTCTGTATTGTTTTTGCTACTCTCAAATACTGCACCTGCTGCTTATCTCATGATAGTCACTGCCAGGGACTCCCATGACTTCTTTGTCATTAAACCCAATTCACTTGACGCCCCACTAGCATTGGTTACTGGCGCCTGCTCCAGTTTTCCTGGGTTTGGGCTACTGCCTTCCTGACAGCTCCCCCCACTGTCCACACGGCAGTCGCGTTACTCGTGCTACGCAGCAAGCATGACCAAACCCCGGCCCAGTGATCCTTGTGTGATTCCACATCACCCTAAAAGTACTTAATAAGTTCCTACTGTCATAGTGACGCCCCAGATTCAGATGCTGTGTGCTTGCTTGAGCATTGAAGTTGTCTCACTGTGCCCATCGCATCCCGAGCCTTTGACCTGGACATTCAAAGGGGCACATGGTTGCACAGGAGAAGCTTGGAGGTGCCGCTCGGTACATTTGCGCACAGGGGGCCACTTGACCATTCTGTCTGTGCCGCCTCTGCAAGACCGGTGGTTCCTGCTCTCTGGGGATGCGGCGGACAGTCAAGTGCAGTGATGTACTTGAGAGGGATCTGGAAATTGAAAGTTCTGCCTAAGCATGAAGGCGCAGGACTGAGCAGGAGAATAGTGAACTTCACTGTACATTTCCAGAAAAAACTTCACCATTGGGTAACTCAGAAATGTTCCATTTGAAATCTTGACAAATTCTGTTTACAAAATAAACATGAAAATGTGACTAGGGTGTTAAATACACATACTGTCTGAGCAGACAGTTTTACTTACAATTCACTGTTACGGAATAGCAAATGTAGGAAACTAGATGACGTCCTCAATGCCAAAAAGAAACTTCTTCACTGTAGTAAGTTTATTTAAACTGAAAAGCCAATATCGAGCAAATGAAAAATACCCCTGCCTAAGTCAAGGACATTCCGTTTTAGCATTGTCCTGAATATTAGATGTGAAGTTAATAGTAAGCATAAAGCAGGGGTGTGTGTGTAAATTTAGGGTAAGGTGGAATTAGGATAAATTACCACTTCGGAAAGACTTCTGAATTTTTTAGATATTCACAGTCAGTTCAAAACTTGGTTTTCTCTGTGCAGTAGGTCTTTGAATATTGTGTGGATCAGCATCTTGAGCGACATGGTGTTGTTGTTCAAGGATCTAGAGCTAAGGCCCTCGGCGTCATGAGTGGGCCCCTAGAAAGTGATACTTCAAGGTAAATGATCCGTAGCAAAACCGGGTCCTTGAATGACCTTGTTGGCTGGGATTTCGACCCAAGACCTGAGAAGGTGAATCCTGACCTTGCTCCGGCAGTAGTGGGGCAGCAGGGACCCAGACCACCCTGCTGGGTGAAGGGCATTTGAAAACTGTTCAGCCATGTTCTCTGTCGTCATGAAGCCTGCTGCTAAGGGGGTGCTTTTGCTCCTGCAGGTCTGGTGGGCTGCACCTTTTTCCTAGCGGCGAGTGGTCTCTACTCCTCAAGTGATGACGTCATCGAGTTAACACCATCAAATTTCAACCGAGAAGTTATTCAGAGTGATAGTTTGTGGCTTGTGGAATTCTACGCTCCATGGTAAGTGCTATAAAGTAGTCGTTGGCCATAGTACTTCATAAAATGCGGAATATGTGTGTGTGTGATTTTATTAGCCATCTGCTAAAAGCGGCGGGGGGGGGGGTGAGTGGTATCGCTGTTATCTGTTAAAGGCGGGGTAGAGATTGAGTCACTTTCTAAAAATGAAGTTACAAGTGGTTGCCAGAAGGAAGAAGGAACAAATCCTTACGGTGTGAGGTAAGTAGGATGGGAAGGAAGGGAAACTTATTTTTAGGAAGAAATACTGGGCAGAGGAGCGGTGAGGGAGGACTGAGCAATTGCTTCCATTCTGTTTCTTATTTTTCCTTTTTTCCAGTGGGAAAGAACTTTAATATTTAGTGCAACTAGTGACAATAAGAGAGAAAAATATATATACTTAAAATCGTTTCCCCTTGAAACACCCCAAGGTACCCATCCCCTCGTGGGTAACATTCTGTCTTGAACAGGTCTCTTTCAGAAATACATTATTTTAAATATGTTTAACTTTAGAGTGCTTTTTCTCCCGTTCATCCATCCTTGTGGAATAAGTTGCAGTTTGCTCTTGAAATGGGTTGTGCACTGCCCTGTGGTAATGTCTGGAGTCATGCTGTTGTGTAGTTGAGACAAGCAAACAAAACTGACAAGTAGAAATGTCGAAACAATGACAAGTGGCCCCAAGTAGAGCGGAGACTGTGCCTGCTGTGAGCAGCAGCCCCAGGCAGCCCTGGGGACCCAAGGTCCAGTGTGGGCCTTTAGGTGGGAGCTATTCCTGTTCTTTGGAAAGCTGACCAGGATTTGGGAAACCAGTCCCCACAGAAAATTCCACTTACTGTTCAGCTTGGTGAATGAAAGTACAGCGCCTTTTGCTATACTGGGAACACATTCAGCTTCCTGCTTTCACTGTTTTTTAAAAGGCTCCTACTTGCTTATTGTTTATTAGATAGTGATAACATGGTGATGTTTAAGGTAGCTGCAGGAGCCATAGTGGCGATAGGCAGACAGCTGCAACTTACTCATGACAAGTCCCAAGTACTAACCCACTGGGACATACTTATATTCATAAGTGAAGGAAGCCCCAACTTTCAGTTACAGGCTAGTGAAAATAAAGCTTTGTTTGCCATCAAAATTCACAGAGCCCCCGAATTTTTATCCATCAATCCTTCGGGGAGTGAGGGGGGCCCCAGGTAAAGAACCCTCAGATTAGAGGGTGTGCTGTGCTTGTATTGACGCGCATTCTGACTAACTGAGGGGTGCGTACTCGAGACTCAGGCGTGACAAGACAGTTTTGTCTTGTGGCCCTCAGTGGCCCGCCTAACACAGAGCATGTGCAAGTGGGGAGAGGTGGCATTTCAGGACAAGTCCTTGTACAACACCGAAGCTCGGGCCATGCGGCGGGTGACGGATGTTCGGGGCTGGGGCCCGAAGCACTGTCGGTGGCTCTGGCACGGAAGCACCATGCCAGCGGGCTTCTGGTACCTGTGGTGCGAAAGGCTTATAGCACATTTGTGTGTTCATGAAGCTCTTTTCTGTGTGTATTTCACAAATGCCAGTAGCTACAAGGTTAGGGTGTGTTCTTGTCACACTTCTTCCAGCTCTCATGCTTTATCACCTTATTGTGGCACGAGGTGTTTTTCAACTCGTTAGGTTCACTGGCTCATTTGTGACTGCACAGCTGCTTTGGGGGTGGAAGAGCCCCGAGGTCGGGACTCGGCTCGCTGCACGGCCTCCGTAGGCCTTCCCCTGCAGGTGGACTGTACGCAAGCTAGACATTCCTGCATCCTCTATGGGGCCCCAGTCATCTGCTTCTGCCTTATAGCTCAGACCACACCGAGGCACACTCGACTCAGTAAAGCCCTAAAGTTCCTGCTCAGATACAGAGTTTTCAAGGAATTGAGCAATAATGGGGAACTTTTAAAATTTTGCCATAAAAAGGATTGTGGGAAGGCACCTCAACCCCAGCATGGGTGTATCTGGGGCAGCGTGCAGGCACAGACACTGGTGGCTATTGAATTAGGATCAAAGACTAATTGTTGCCTTGTCTGCGTTTTCACCCTCGAAAAGGTGTGGCCACTGCCAAAGGCTGACACCAGAATGGAAGAAAGTGGCGACTGCGTTAAAAGTAAGTTCGGAGCCCTGGGTGTTCGCGTCTGAATACGGACGCAAGTAGGCTGGGTGGACCCCGGGAGCCAGTTTGCGTCGTAAGCTTAAGCCCTGTTCTGCGGCCCAAATTTCGTGGGGAGCAAAGGGGTGGTGTGTATTTTACTTTCGTGCTATCTTCTCGTGCGATTTTTGGATAAGCGGGACAGTGACCCTTGGTGGCGCTTCCTCCGTGGGTTAACTGGCATCGTAGTCTTGTTTAGAAGTGCCCAGAGTGCGCCCTCGGGGGTCCTGCCTGTCGCCTACCCTGCGCGTGTTGCTGGTCTCAGCTGACAAGACGCAGGTAGTGGATTCCTGCGGAATCTGTTTCCGTGGAGGAAAGTAGATGCTCCTTCCTGTCTCTGCAGGGCGTCGTGAAAGTAGGTGCAGTTGATGCGGACAAGCACCAGTCCCTGGGAGGCCAGTATGGTGTCCAGGGATTTCCCACCATCAAGATTTTTGGAGCGAACAAAAACAGACCAGAAGATTATCAGGGTAAGGACTTCTCCTGGCTGCTGTTGGAATTTTAGTCGGGACAGGTGGGTGAAAACTGGGAGAGCACCTTGGGTCCTGTATGACTTGTTTGCTCGGCCACCTGCAACTTTCTCAGCCTCTTTGTGCCTGGATCTCCTGTGCAGTGGCAGAAAGCGATCGCTGCCCTCCTGAGTCACATTAAATGTGTCGCACAGTCCAAGTTTGGCTTTAAATGGCTGTCACGCCAGCGTAGGCCCGCACTGCCTTGGCAGTAACAGCGTAACGGTGTTCTGGGCTTCCTCGCGTTTCTCATAATTTTCAAAAGAATGAAAGTTGTTGAGTAATTTACAGTCACGTACATGCACAAGACTGCATGTTTTGCTCTGACCTTGCTTCCCTCCGCCGGAGAAGGGGGTCTGTGCCGTCTGGACGTGGGAACAAGACTCTGCACCTCAGTGCTGGGTGCGCTAACGCTGCTCCTGGCGTCCTCAGCTGTCATGCGTGTCTGCTGTGATTAGGATGCAGCTGAGGAGAGGACTAAGGTTTTGTAGCCTGGAGCATATAGCGTGGCTGGTTTCGAGTCCAGCGTCTCCGGTTTGGTTCTGTTTAGGGCAAGATCCCCCCGGTGGGGGAGGTGGGGAATGCGCGTCAGTCACACCAGGTGCTCACGTGCTTCCCGCGCTTGGTGTCTCGCACTGTACTCGCTCTCAGAAACGTTTCTCAGGGCGCCGGGAAGGGAGGCAGCCACGACCGGCCAGAGCAGCCGGTGCAGGGAGCGCCGGGCTTGGCTGCCGCTCGCACAGGCCTGCTGAGCAGCGTGAACACCGGTGCTCGGGCTGCCGTGAGCAGTGAAATGGGGCTGTTGGCACCTTCACTGAGGTAGGGCATGGGAGGGCAGTGACCTGGCCAGCATCGCTGTGGTGGCACATCAAGCAGGGCCACCAGACTTGCGGGCACACTGCTCTGGTAGGCCCTGAAATTCCATAAAACCATCAGTTTCTTTTTTCTGAATAAGCATCATCTTTGGAATCATAAGTTGCTCATGTTTTGCTAATTTATAAAAATGAAATGCTTAGCTCGGGCTGGTCTGGCCTGCTTCCTGTTTCTGCACATAAAGCTTAACAGCACCGTCACACCTGCTCTCACGTCTCTGGCTGCTTTCTCGCTCAAACAGTGGAATTGAGAGGCTGCAGAAGACGGTAGGGCCTGCAGAGCCAGCAGTGCGTGACCTTCCGCCAGCCCTGTACAGAGGAATCGCCAAGACAGGGCACCGCCAGGTGCTGCCTGCGCGGCCGCCGACCGGGAACCGCAGCTCTTCCCGCGGGGTCTGAACGTGCCCCTGGAGTCGTGTGCCGCGGCCCTTTCAGCTCGCGTCTGAAGTGCTGTGTATCTCTCGGCAGTTTGATTCGAAAAGTTCAAAAATAAGAGTGGATGTCTAAAGAAAGATCTCTTGATCTTGTCACAGTTTCGCCTCAGAACTTGGACCCCTTGGTGACACACACTTCTTGCGCCTCCCAGTCAGGCGCTGGTCCCTGGCTCCCGAGCTTCAGTACAGGGCCTGCTAACTTCTTACATTACCCATCAGGTAGCCGTGGCACCAAAGCTCCGGGCCAGAATTTTAACTTTAAGCTAGAACAGAGAGGCCAGGGTTGCTTACACCTCATACCGACTATTCTAGTTTTTTTTTTTTTTTTTTTTAGATTTATTTATTCATACAGAACTGGGGTACAGGCCAGAGATGCGGAGGGTGAGAGGATTCACCAGGGACACAGTGGGGAGCAGAACAGGCAGATCTACAAAGTACACTGCTGAGGGGAGCAGCGGGCAGGTCAGGAGAGGTCTGCCGCGCCATGTGGTCACCTCCGGGGCAGGCAGGGATTGAACTCATGCGGAAGTGGCTTTAGCTTCTCAGTGCTGTGCTTTAACCCGCTGCGCCACCAGGGAGGGCCCCTACTATTCTAGTTTTGTTTTTGTTCTTTCTATTGGTTACCTTGCAGGAATTTCCCCCCCCCAACCCACCGCCCCCCCCCCCGGTTTTCCTCTCTGAGAACTTGTATTTAGATATTTCCACTGCTTTCTTGACTAGATCACACACTTGCTCATCTGTGTACGTGTCTATGGTCAGTAAAGATCCGTGGCTTGCTCTCATTAGACACTAGTATTTGTAGGTGGGCGGGAAGTTCTTGTTCACACTAACAGCCTAAAACCGAAGAGGCCTCGCCTCTTCAAGGGTAAAGTGCAGTACTAAATGCTTCTGGGGAGAAGTTGGCCCTGTCCTAACAACACCTGTGGTCAGACCTGTTTGAAGACCCGGCTGTGCAGACACATTGTGGAGATGCTGGTCTCTGACAGTGGCGGGAGCGTGGCCGCCCACCCCGATGTCCTCTGTCTTCCTGCAGGTGGCAGGACCGGTGACGCCATCGTGGACGCTGCCCTGGGCACGCTGCGCCAGCTCGTCAAAGACCGCCTGGGCGGCCGGGGCGGCGGGTACAGTTCTGGAAAACAAGTAAGACTCTGGTGTCAGTGTGTAATGTGCGTGATGATTCCGAAGCCTAGAGCAGGCTCCTCATAGTAGTTCGTTGTTTTTAATAGTCTGATTGGGCGAGCTGGCATTTAAATCATGGGGTTGGCCTGAGCCCTCGGATCAGCCATCCTTTGGCCTCAGAATCGCTGTTGCCTGAGCCAGGCCCAGAGCACCATGCTGTCACTCCAGGCCAAGAACCGGCCCCGGGCAGAAAAAGATGTTTGAACTGCATTTATTGAATGATTTTGGGCACACAGGTGAAATTTGCATAAGCTCTTAGCTGTGGCAGGCAGCCCGACATCTACAGATGAGTTTACATAAATGCAGAGAAAGAGGAAGCCCTTTCTGCTCTATGGGTGGGCACTGTGGATGCCCTTGTCTGAACTGTGAAGTTCTGCGCTGTCTGAGAGAACGTTAAGTTACTGCTGACTGCTCCATGGCGTCCCCAAAGGCGCCTTTTCACGCGGAAAGCTGCGCTCCCCGGGCCTGCTTTTGTCTTTACTTCAGACCTATACATCGCGCGAGCACAGGGTCCCATCTCCAGGCTCTCGGCCCAACAGACCAGTGCTGAAGGGTCACTTGAGGGTCAGCGCTGGAGAAGACCCTTCAGAGAAAGGAGAGGGTTGGGCATCTCCCCTCTCTTTGTGAGAAGGCTGTAAAGTGACGCGGCAGAGCCTGGCGGGAGCAGCAGCTAGCTGTGCTTGGGTCTGCACTAGAGTGCGCCAGGCGGTTCTTTCAGCCTTTTGAGTTTCTCTAAAAAATGCCTGATATCAGAAGTCAGACACGTGTTCTGTGGTATGTGTGAGTTTACTACTTAGCCATACTAGCTTAGTATTTTGCTTGAAAGAAGAACTTCGTTCAAATGTAGAAGTGATTTTTGAGCCAGGTTGTAGTTTAATGTTTTGTCACAAATTACAGGGTAGAGGTGAAAGTTCAAGTAAGAAAGATGTGATTGAGCTGACAGACGACACCTTTGATGAGAATGTTCTTGACAGCGACGACGTCTGGATGGTTGAGTTCTATGCGCCTTGGTGTGGTCACTGCAAAAAGTGAGTGTTGTAAGCCAAGTGCTTTCTAGAGCCTCCCAGCTCTTAATACCTCATTTAGCAAGCTTGCTCTGTGGTGCGTGTGGACCCCCGTGCCCCACCGCCTGCCCACCCCCACCCCTGGGCAGCCGCCAGTCTACGTTGCATCTGTGAGCTTGGCTTCTAGGTTCCTTTAGGTGGAATCTCGGGAGCATCCCCCCCGGCCGCAGGAAAGCGCCGCCCCCGAAACACTGGTGGTCGTGCCAGGACACTTCCCGTCACATTTTCAGAGATGAAGAGGGAGCAGGGAGCTGGCTTCCAGATTTGGGGAGCAGTGGCCACGGGGTGGGGGGTGGGGGGGGAGGGAAGCAAGTGAAGGATGGTAGGGTCTCGGTGGAACCACTCTGCGTCAGTGTCACGCCCTCAGGTGTCTGTCCTGAGTTAACTACACTTTCTAATGCTAAGTGTTTTCCTGTAGCCTCGAGCCAGAATGGGCCGCTGCAGCCACGGAGGTGAAAGAGCAGACAAAAGGCAAAGTGAAACTGGCTGCTGTGGACGCCACCGCGAACCAGGCGCTCACCAGCCGCTATGGGGTGAGGGCGCTGTGCCCCACGGCACTGACAGGCTCCTCTGGTCGTGACGAGTGGTTTGCCCGGCGCTGGGGCGGGGCTGTTTGGCTGCTTGGTAATGAAGAAATGGTCGTTTTATGGTTCCAGTTAGTAAGCCTGGAGCTCAGACCTGTTGGTTTGTTTTCCAGTAGCTCAGTTTCTGTGAACTTAAGGCGAACCCGAGCCGACCCCAGCCTTCACGGGTCGCTCCTAGGCTTTTGAAGTCTGTTACTCTGTGTAGAGCAGAGATGCTGTATGAAATGTGCATCCAGGCTTCAAAAGATTTGACTAAGCTGCCATTTGAACTGTTGAAACCCTGCGGCTCGCCCTGAGATGCTGATGGGGGCAGAGTCCTGCTGACACTGAGCTACCTCTGAGGTGGTCTGAGAATGCCGAGAAGTTACCTAGTTCTTACTATGCATTCATTTGATTTTTTTAATAGATTAGGGGATTTCCTACGATCAAGGTGTTTCAGAAAGGCGAGTCTCCTGTGGACTACGATGGGGGACGGACAAGATCTGACATCGTCGCTCGGGCCCTCGACTTGTTTTCTGACAACGCGCCCCCCCCTGAGCTCCTTGAGGTAAACCGCCCGCCCGCCAGCGGGAGCCTCTGCGGCATGTGGCTCTTCTCTCCAGATTCGGCTCTTCCTTCCCTTTTAAAGTGTTCTGACACTTCCAGATTTGTCAGTCCTGGCTGATAAATTGCTGCTGTTCAGAACTTTTAGTGCTCACATCATTGCACTGTCCGCAGAAATGCACGTAACCCTCCCGCTGTCAGGCCGCAGTGGCGGGCGCCCCTCTGCGCCTTGGCCTGGGGACCCCTCCGGTCCCTCGGAGTGCTGAGGGTGAATGCCGGCTTTGTCTCTGCTCCCCAGACGACGAAACCTTTCACTTGCTTATAACGTCTGTGACTGCGTCCCTGAGCGGCGGTCAGAGGCTCTGCGGGGTGTTCTTACCCCAAGGCCCTGTACCCCGCAGGGGCCTCGCGTGCCCCCGGCGGAAGGCGTGGGTCTGGCCGGGCGCCCCCAGGCCAGGCGTGGTGGCGTTTGCTTGGGCTCTGTGTCATGTCTTTCCACTGTCCCCGGTCTCCTGGCTCCTCAGATCACCAGTGAGGACGTGGCCAAGAAGACATGCGAGGAGCACCAGCTGTGCGTCGTGGCCGTGCTGCCCCACATCCTCGACACGGGTACGGACAGCCCCCCCCCTCCCCCCCCCCGCAGGGCTGCCCGGCGCCCCGTGTGCGCGGGGCCCTCGTGTTCACCTTCTCAAACTCTGTCAACAGGTGCCGCAGGCAGAAACTCCTATTTGGATGTTCTCCTGAAGTTGGCAGACAAATACAAGAAGAAGATGTGGGGGTGAGTTGACCTGGAGCCTCGGGGCGGGGTGCCTCCCAGCCCCCTGTGGGTGCGCTGCTCCGTGTGCTTCGGGGTGTCTTTCTGTGCACCCCAGACTTAGGGAGAAAGAAGCAATGCTGGACCCTGGCCTGCGCGACTCGCTCGTGCCGCAGCTGCTGCCGCGGGTCGGGGCCCTTGGACGGGGGGCGGGGCCCAGGCTAGCGGGCAGAACTTGCCCCGGGGCGCAGCTGGGCGCTCTCCGGGCTCGCTGGCGGGGGCGGTTACAGGGACGGTTCTGCAGGGGTGCTGCTGCACTGGCTCGGCTTGGCGTAGGCAAATTCCGGGAGCAGTGTGCCTGCCTCCTTCCCGGTCGCGGTGTCCGGCGCTCCTGCCGTCTCTAGGGACCGCACCCTCCCTGGCGCGGCGGCATTGGCCGTGTGCCCGCGGAAGGCTGCGCCTCAGGCCGGCTCCTGGCCATTGCAGCAGCTGGAGAGCAGTGGGAGTGTTTTTGTATGTGTGGAACAGTAACACGTCGGACTTTCTAAAACATGTTGTTAGACTTTTTTGAAAGCATGTATCTTGATCCAAACTGGGAGGATTTCAAGTGAAAGTTCTTGAGGTTTAGTGGGCCATACTTGGGAGCCTGGGGGACAGGGACACCTGTCTGTCAGCTGGGACAGTCCGCGTGGGGGCTGCAGAGTCAGGGCTTCGGGAGGTTGTGACGTAAGAGCACGTTTGTGACAGGTTTTAAACTGTGGCTTTGGGTTTTTGTAGTTGCATACCCATTTCATTGTGTGAGCTATTTGAAATGTAATCTCCCGTTACTTAAGTAAGATAACGCTGGGTAGATTCCAATTCGAAACGAATATTTGCCTTAACCCATCTGACTTTGCAGGTGGCTGTGGACGGAAGCTGGGGCCCAGTCTGCACTGGAGAGTGCCCTGGGGATCGGAGGGTTTGGCTACCCCGCCATGGCGGCCGTCAATGCCCGCAAGATGAAGTTCGCTCTTCTCAAAGGGTCCTTCAGTGAGCAGGGCATCAACGAGTTTCTCAGGTAACCGCTGGACTTCTTCGGTCGTTCTTGTTTTTCTGTCTGGTTCTGTTGTGGTTTTGGGTTCAGAGTTAGGCTTATCCAGGCCAGGCAGTAAATAAAGGGAATTATTTTGCATTTGGCATTCTACAGAATTGTTTTTAAAGTACATCTTTTAAATCATCTACCCGGACTCTGTCCTCGTCATGGGCATATTGCACACAGTGAAAGATGCTGGTGCTTTCTGCCCCCAGCGGCCTCACCACTGTCGGTGTCGGTGGTGTTGGGCCACTCCCTGGTGTTCATGACGGTCTCTTCCGGGCCAGACACAGCTCCGTCTCCCCTGTTCCCACCCCCGCATGCCCTGACCCCAGAAGATGGCGTTTCCATTTCTGGCATGGGCTATAGAACGCTGTGTGAACATGGGTGTGCTCGCGTACTCTAGCAGTGCAGCAGCTTTGGAAGTCTCTAGAACTCACTTTTGTTTTTAAAGATTTATTGATGCACACAGAACTGGGGTATAGGCCAGAGGTGCAGGGGCGGCGAGAGGCTTCCCCAGAGACAGAGTGGGGAGCACAACAGGCCGACGGATAAAGTCCACTGCTGAGGGGAACAGCGGGCAGGTCAGGAGAGGTCTGCCGCGCTCTGGGGTCACCTCCAGGGCGGGGATCGAACTCATTTAGCTTCTTAGTGCTGCGCTTTAACTCCCTGCACCAGGGAGGGCCCACAACTAAAATTTTTAGAGCTTCGTCCTTCCCGGCTAGTCAGCCCTTCCGAATCTGACCTAGTCACCTGTGGGCAGTACACAGTACTGACCCCGTTCTCTTCGGTCTGTGCAGACGAAGGTTCAGGGAATGGACGCTGTGTGCGTGAAACAGATGTGGCCTGCAGGCTGCTGGTGAGGACATAGGCCGCTGGGTCCCCGGGTGCAGTGCAGCAGGACCCGCTGCGCCCGCCAGCTGCTCACGAATGGGAGGATGCGCGGCGTCTTGCCGTGCGCAGCGTGCCGTGGCCGCGCCCTCCCCAGCCCGCGTGCATCTGGCGCCCGAGGAGACGCAGGGCAGGGCGCACACGCGTGCGGGGCTGTGTCCGCTGCACCTCCGCGCCTGCGCAGAGCAGGCCAGGGGTGTGTCCCTAGGCCAGCGGTGGTGGCCCTGGCCCCAAACTTGGCGAGCCTGGACAGCCGGGCGCTGCGCGTGCTTGGAAATGCCGCGCCGTGTCCTGTCGCGAGCGTGGAGTGAGCGCTGTGCGCCCGGGGGCGGCGGCGGCCTGGCTCTGTGCCCGGTGTCTGGGCCTGTGGAGCGCCCGCTTTCCCCAGCACTCCGCGCCCTCACCGGGGCGGAGGGCAGAGCAGGCTGAGAGGAAGCGGCTGCGCCCCCCTGAGGTTTTGCCCCAGTTTCAAGCGCCTCTCGTGAGCTCGGCTGTGCTGCAGTGAGTCACTGTCCACCGAGTGCCCGGCCGGGCACATGCTGCGCAGCCTGTGAGCGAGGAGGAGGCCGCTCCGAGCGAGATGCAGGACGCGGCTGAAACACGACGGGCCGGCGTGGTACCCGCTCGGGTTTGTTTCCCACATCTGCCGCATCGTGGGTCGCCATAGAGCGCCGAGCGCCACCTGAGCTCAGGGCAGTCCTGTGCGCTGCTGACGCGCCGCGCGTCTGGGCTCTGTTCCCCGGGCCAGCGGGGCGCACGCACACATGGATGTGACAGTCAGCAGTGTCTCGGGACATGGCAAAAGGAGCCCCAATATGAGACCCACTGAGAGCGTTGTAAACATGCCAAGCAGTAGGGAGGTCGCCACAGTTACCCGTTGTCCAGCCCTTCACCAGGCGGAATTCGGGGTCTCGCTGAGTAGTCACTGCCTCTCCGTAGCCTCTGCAGCACCTGCAGCGAGGGCCCCGTCCAGCACCTGCAGCGCTCCGGTGGGCGACAGCCACCAGCCTCATCTGTCATCGGGAGGCCCGGCCGGCCTTGAGTGCGTCTGCTTCCTTAGAAGCCAGGGAAATGATTGGATTTTTTAAAAGCTTTTCTGGAGTCTTTATTAACCAAATGTCAGTGTTGTGTTTGCCCATGTTCTAGATCAGTCTATATCTTTTGCTATCTGATCTGTATTTTAATAAAATACACAGGCTCCATCCAACCCTGAGGTGTGAATTGGGGTTTCCCCGCTGCGTTGTCCCTAGTTCAGAGGTCACACTGTCCGCGAGGTGACGTGGCGGGTCTGTCCTTTCCTACCTGCAGCAGCGCCCCCCGTAACCAGCATGCCCTTCTCTGGGTCCTTCCCTCAGGGAGCTGTCTTTCGGTCGTGGCTCTACAGCGCCTGTAGGCGGGGGGGCGTTCCCCCCCATCAGCACCAGAGAGCCGTGGGACGGCAAGGACGGCGAGGTGAGTCCCGGGGCCGGGGCCTGCAGCACCAGCCGTCTGCCCCACTGACCCTGCGCGTGCGGGCCGTGTGCAGGCTCCCGGCAGGCCGCAGCGTCGGCGTGAAGCCCCAGGCCCCGGCCCCCACGGGCCTGCTGGGAGGCTCTTCCGGCCTTATCCCAGCTTCCCTGCTCGTGATAAATGCCAAGATCCCTTAACACGAGGTGGTGGTTTCCTGATCATTGATGACCCCAGAGTGCTGAATATTAACCCGGAATTCACTTACTTTGCTGTAGAGAAGTGTAAAGTTCAGTCTGAACGAACACTGAATCTAGCACCGCCTGTCCCCTTAGCGGGCCCTTGAAAACGGCGCCCTTACTCTGGTGAAGTCCAGCCGCGTTTCCACGCGTGCTCAGCTCCCCCTGCTGGGCGGGGCGGACGGGGAGCGCTGGCCGTGCCTCTGCGGAAACGCGGGCTGGGGGGCTCCCTCCGGTGGGCCGTAGACCCTGAGAGGCGGCTTCTGTCTTCCAGCTTCCCGTGGAAGACGACATCGACCTCAGCGACGTGGAGCTGGACGACTTGGAGAAGGACGAGTTGTGAGAGCTCAGCGTAGGCCTCAGTTTTCTTTTCTTGGGAGCGAATATTTTTCAGCAGTGAAGGAACATTCTTAAAATCAGAGACTCTACCAGTGGCCTTTCAAAGCAAGAGGTAGCACTTGTTCGTTCGTTTGAAAGCACTGCAACAGTGAACTTTCGCGTCTCAAGAAAACGATGAGAAATTCTATGAATTGTTGTAACCGGTGAATTGGGCTGTATTCTGTTGAGTAATATTTTGAAGAAAGCGGATGGGCTATTGAAACACTTCCCCTCCCTCTGGCTGCTTGGATGTTCCTGGAGTCTGTTTCTTACATAATTTTTTAAATGTGATTCTTTTCATTTGAATATAATGGCTTTTTTCCATTCAAGAATAAAACAATATTTTGGACAACGCCAATAAGCGTGTGGAATTAGTGTCCACATAATTAAGAGCCTGTGTCTAGCCCGTAAGTTACTAGTGCCGGGGATGAGCCCGATATCTCTCCTCCCTCTGAACCGGGGTCCAGACGACCGTGGCGCCTCCCGGCTCGGCCGCGGGCCGGCTCCTCCCGGACGCGTGGCTCACGTGGGCAGGCGGACACCGCGGCGTCGGCAGAGAAGAGCGTCTCCTGCGGCGCCTCGCCTCGGGCCCTCGCCAGTGATGTAGCAAACACAGCTGGTTGTCGTCAGCTCGAGGCGTTCACGCCACTGAGGTCCGCGGAGCCCCGATTCCCAGGCGGAGACGAGGTTTGAGTCGCAGCATCAGCCAAGAGCCGAGGAGTAAGCATTTACTGTAACTTAAAAAAATAAATACAACTGTGACTAACTTGTGAGCAGCTTTTCTAAACACCTAAACTCGGTAGGACAAACTGTTCTCCAGCTCTGGAAAGGGCGGAGGCCGTGGGGCTCCGTGCCCCTCGCCCTCAGTCCAGGAGGCTGAGGTCGATGCGGAAGTAGACGTAAGGGAAGTAGTCCTGGTTGTTGAGCTGTATCCCAGGGATCTCCACGGACGCCTGCGGAGGAAGGGGGCGGTCTGAGGGCTGCAGTCAGGCGGGCCCGCTCGGGGGCACCCGGGCGCTGGCCGTCGTCCCTGCTCAGGGCAGCGCCGCCCCCGCCCACCGGCTTTCGCGCTGGCAGGCTGATGGTTCAGGACAGTGGCAGTGCCCCGGCTCCCCGGGGAGGGCTGGCCGTGCCGGGGGCACTCGGCTGCCCGAGAATACGTACGTCGAGGATGCTGGCGGCAGCTACTTCGTCCAGATGTCTGAAGACCGAGTTGAGCACTTCCCTCAGGCGCTTGGTGGAAGACTTCTTCTGCGGCCGGAGGAGCACCGCCTGGAAGTTCACCGGCAGTCCGTACCTTCGCGGGCAGAGTGCGTGCTCAGTTACTCCGAGTGCGGGGCCAGACGGAGTCCAGCAACAGCAAGCTCCTGCCCGAGGACCTTACGGTGCCACCCCGCTGGGTCAAAGGTCGAGGGTCAGGGACGAGACTAACCGCCGGCTCTTTCTGGTAGAAAGTCGACAGCCTGTTGGCCCACCTCGGGCAGCAGGTTTTGCCCGTCAGGCCGCCGTCAGCCCAGCCCCGTGCGGCTGTTAGGCGGTGAACGCCTGAGCGCCGCGAAGGCACCTCGCGACCCCGTGGGCAGCAAAGCATCAGTCTCCAACCTGCCTCTGCGTGGTGGTTCTCCACAGAGAGGACAGCGAAAATAACGGTTTCCAGGCTTGTAAGTTCTGTTTGCTGACTCTGATTGGACAGCTGCTTGGTGGACTCACGCTGAGTCCACTCAGAAGCCACCTGGGGCAGTTACTGCCGTGGTGTTATCCCCCGACCAGGACAGTAAGCCCGGGCTGCAGCGGCAGCATGCTGGCCCTGGAGGAGTGACTCCAGGGGAGACCGGTACACGCCGGGGTCTCGCCTGCGGAACCTAGGGAAGCCAAGGCTCAGGCAAAACTGACCCTTGACAGCTGCCCACAGACAGGAGTACTCTGGGGCCAAGGGGAGGAGGTGCAGGGCCGTGGGCACTTTGATGTTGGGAAAACTAGGGTGACCACATCTGGGGGGAAAGTGCCACACTGTGGGAAAATATTTTTAAAAAATGAATGAAATACTGGAACATCCAAAAGTGTCAAGATCTCCCTGGCTGCTGTGAGCAGCAAGCACGTGACTTGGGATTGCCAAGGGTTTGGGTTTCACCACCGCTGAGCCGGTGCAGGGACGGCCGGTCTCCTGCCTCCTCGCCAGGAATGTCGCTGCGGCCCCCAAACACGTCAGGCTTCACGGTGAGGAGCCGTGACTCGGCCTGTGCCTCCCAGTCCGTGTCCCTACATCACCCCCGACCCTGGAGCTCCCGGTGGACCAGAGTAACCGCTGAAAGGCCCCAGGGTCTCCTCGAAGGCGCCGCCAGCACGCGGCCGCCCAGCCGTGTCCTACAGGCTTGGGGAGCAGGTGGCGTCCGGGAAAGGGGCTCGTGTGCAGGGGCCCCACCTCAGCTTGCCCGAGGCAAGTACCACAGCCCAGAAGGTGTTGGCTGGCTCGCTGGCATGGGCCGAAACGGGCGCCGGGCGGTTCAGCACACCCCCATACCTTGGCTCCCATCTTCTGTCCCTAAGGTCTGCTGCTGCCCCGGCCCAGGAGCAGAGGAGCTGGGAGTGCCCCCAGGAGGCCTCCCCTCCCCTGCTGGACCCTTCCCCCCAGCGCACCCCTCACACCCTGGACCACCAGAACCTTCTTTCCACCTGCAGACCACGGGAGTCTGAGCAGGGCCTGCTCGTGAGGCGGCGCCCAGCCCCGGGAGCACCTGCTCAGGCCCCGCCATTGCCAGGCGGTCCGGGGCCACGTGGCCTGGCCAGGAGCCCTCGAGCGGAGTGCCCGGCCTGCCCAGCCCAGCACAGCACCTGGCCACGGCTCAGGGCGGTCTCGCTACCCGCCCAGGCCCAAAGCCTGGCGCACAGCGGGCACGCCCTCAGTGCCTGCTGGGGGCCCCCTTGGTCTCCCCGGAGCCTGCCCGTCTGGCCCTGCCAGCCCTCCCCTGGTCAGACAGCTCCGTTCTCAGAAGGGACCATCCAGGAAGGGCTGGCCCATCCTCGGGCCCCTCTCCCCCGGGCTGCGCAGACCCCCAGCTGAGGTCGCTGGGGAGCCCACAGCTGGGTCCTCTGTCCTGGGAGCCGCCCCAAACCGCCTCCCCTGCTGCCAGGTGCCTGCCTGTCTGCCACTGCTCCGCCCCTGCCTGTCACGTCCAGCCCCAAGGCTTCAGCTCCCTGTGGCTCTCATTCCACACCTGAGAGCACCCCAAGTCCTGTGGCCTCCTGTTCTCCAGCCGCTCGGCCTCCCGTGGCCGGTCCCGGGGACACCTGACGCCTCCACACTCCTCTCCCTTTGGCATCCCTGCCTCCACGCCTTATGAGCTGGGGTGCCCTGAGGTACCCCGCTGATCCTCTGCTAGGTCACCTCCTCCACTCTCGCCGTCATTGCTGGTGAGCTCCGTAAGCACCATGGGGTGCTCGGACTCTTCCCCTCCCACCCCCAGCCTCTATGGCCGCCACCTGCAGCCTTGTTTCCCGCCCGAGACCCACTGCCCGCACGTGGTGACGTGGAGCTGCGGACAGCGCCGGGGCG